ATTTGTTATTTGTTTTAATTCAAAATTAGCAGTTTAACTTAATTATTGTGCTTCTTGATTAATTGTGTATACCTGGTGTATTATTTAGCCCATGTTTGTCTACCATTATTCCAAAAAATTGTTTGTTACAGTAAAATTATCCATCACACATTCACTCAATAAAATATTCTACACACAAATCAATAAAGTTACTTTACTTTTCAATCACACATTCTCCAAAAAATACTATTCATCACTCTATTTTTCTCCCAATAATGGGAAACAAACACACTCTTAATTGAATGACCACCAATTAAATAATTAGTTGCTTGTTGTAGTGTTGTGAAACTCACAGTAAGTTGAAAACACGACAAAATCAACATATGTACAATAGACGCTATGAATAACATTTATTACATGAGCAATCATATAGATAATCTAAATTTTAATGCATTATAATCATTCAAATTCGGATTATGAATATATTCGGTCATAGATAAGATAGATTTAATTAGCTTTGAAAAAGAAAATTATATATCATAATTGTATCGATTAAAAACGCATGAACAAAATTAGATTACAAATCAAAAATTGAATTAAATAGTAATGGGCGAATTCGAAATCCAATACAATCATCCATAATTTGATAAAAAAAAAATATTTTTTTACATGTTTTTTGGATTAATTTAGAATAATCATAAAAATCAAATCTGTTTATTTACATAATTCGAATTCCTTATAAAACTAGTAAACTTGAATTGAATTTATTTCCCGTGGGATGATACTCTTAACTCATCAATTTTATTACTTATCACGATGTCGTACGCTTGTAGGTTTAACACGAAAATTTTTTTGGCGCAATTGCTTCTTCAAGAGCAACAATATGATCGATTTAAAGTTTATAAACTAACATCAAAAATATTTATTCACGTTGTGATGGGACAATAATAAATTATATATATCAATACCATAAAAAAATATTTAATCAATTTATATGATCACATTTTTTTATACAAAGATAATAATCTATATCATTAGTTCCATCACATAATCACGAGATGATGTTTACTTTAATTTAATATGCATTTAAAACTATTATAAAGTATCACATTTAACAATTAAAGTGCATAATGAGATGTAAAGAAACTTAATGAAATATGCACACAAATGCTTACTTACAGATTATTTTTTCTACACAAACTCCATGAAACTAAATTTTAACGGAGGAGAGAAATTATTATGTTACAAGACAAAAAGGCAAATTCCGTCATAATATTCTAGTAAATGGCAAATATAGGGGATTTTCAAAATTGAGTGCAAGAATTGAGAATTTGGGTGTTGAGACGTGTAATATTAAAAAATCACAACGTGTAATTAGGTAAAAACTTTGGCGCAGAGAGTTTCGATCGCTATTTTAAAAAATAGTAATTAGATAAAAGCGTTCGTACTGATAACGTGTTATAAAATAAAAAAAATAAAAGATAAATGTAAAAAATAAATAGAGAGAAAAATAGAAACTAAAAACTCAATTGTGTTTTATTGAGAACCAATATCTCATATTTATATGGTCCAAAATAAAGTTATATATCTTCTAGACTAAACTAAAATTATTCATGTATCATAATAAGACTATATAATCATTAATATATATCTCAATAGTTTTACAACAAAATCACACCTTTTTGGAGATCTACAACTTCCCATTTATACATTCATCAATTTTCCACCGGGGTTACAATTTTTACGAAAATTTGGATTAAATTTCCCAGAAGTCAGCATTATTCCCAAAATGAAAATGAGAAATAATGTCGTTGAACACCAAAACCAGGGATTGTGTGAGGGGAAAGTAAAAAATAATCAGCAGGTGGGGCCCCCCTCAACGGTACAAATTCTTCTAAAGAGGAAGAAACAATGCAGGCCAAACAGGGGCTAAATTTCTTCTCCACCAAGGAAGAGCATAATTGCAAGTCTACTTTCTTGGTCAAGCTACACAAATTGCAATTAATTAATGTGTTCGCCTTGGTTTTTGCTCTAGAAAAAATTTATAAAATATGTGATTGAAAAGTTGTGATTCTATAAAATATATGATTAAAATTAATTACTTTGTTTTAAATTAAATTTGAATTTTATCAAACATGAGCTATCATTAAGTCTATGTTGGGTCCGGATTAAAATCTGATTTTAAATTCAAGTTAAAGTCAACAATCAATAACCACATTTTTCATGGGTCTCATAACTTTTCAACCATACATTTCAAAAACTTCTATCACAATCTACTAAAAATCAAATTTTCACTTCTACCAAACACCCTCTAAATGACCTAAGCTCCCGTTCGGTTCCCACTATTTGAAATTTTAATGTTTGGAATAGTTTAATTTTTTTTAAAAAAAATGTGTGATTAAAAAAGAACAAAAAAAAGTTCTGAATTACGTGAAATATTATTTTATTAAAAAGCATGTGATTGATAAAAAAAAAGAAAAAATAATTATAATTTTAATGCCGACATGGGCTAAAATAGTGCTTTATGATATATATGATAAAACCTAGATGAGCCTACGGTGATTGACTAGGCCATTCGCGTGGCCACATTTTAAAGAAATTCTTTATTTCTAAAGAGCATATATTCTATCATCTATAAATTTAGAGAGTTAAAATTTTGAAGTACTCCAACAAGCACTTTATATTTAAAACTTAATTTTAATACTCTTAAAAAATATTTATTATTTTTCTTTATCTTTTATTTTAACTAACCTTTTTTTAGATTATTTTATTATTTTCCTAAATTAAAAATTGAAACATTTTGAATGCAAATTAATTATAGAGAGTGAATTTGATGCTTGGAGTACAGGTGTCAATCCGGGTGGTCCGGTCAGGACCGGGTCGGTCCGCCAACATATGAGACTGGTAACGACCCGTGTGAAAAAAGCCCGCCCCCTACGGGTTCCGGGCCGGTTCCGGGTCGATCCACAAATTTTGGACTACAACCCAAGTCCGCCCGTTGACCCCTCCGGGGTCGAGCCCAAGCGGGTCACGGGTCGCACGGGTCGCGGTTTATTCCGATTTGACCAGTATTATTGTATACATAA